ACAGAGAGTTCTCAAAAGAAGAAATAAAGATGGCTAAGAAACACCTTAAAATGTTCAACATTGTTAGTAATTAGGGAAAGGCATATTAAAACCACCCTAAGGTTTCACCTTACCCCAATCAAACTGGCTAGGATCAAGAGAACAAATGATACCAAATGCTGGCAAGGATGTGGAGAAAGGGGACCACTCATTCACTGCTGGTGGGATTGAAAACTCATGCAACCCTTATGGAAAACAGTATGGAGAACCCTTAAAAAACTAAAAATGAATCTAACATATGACCCAGTTATACCACGCCTTGGCATATACCCAAAGGACTCATCCTATTGTGGAGACACTTGTACAACCGTGTTTGTTGCTGCTCTTTTCACAATAGCTAAGAAATGGAAGCAAACTAAGTGCCCCTCAACTGAGGAGTGGTTAACAAAAATGTCATACATTTACACAGTGGAGTTATATTCAGCAGTAAAGAAAGATGAAATAATGAAATTTGCAGCTAAATGGATAGATCTAGAAACTGTTATACTAAGTGAGGTAACACAGACTCGGAAAAACAATTGACGTATGTAGATCTAGAAACTGTTATACTAAGTGAGGTAACACAGACTCGGAAAAACAAATGACATATGTTCTCCCTCATCTGTGGATCCTAGCATCAAATTCTTATAAGTGAGTGCATATCCTGATGTAATTGAAGGGACTAGGAATATGGAAGGAAAACATGGAGGTAAAAGGAAAGAAGGAACCTGAGAGAGAAGAATAATAGGATAAAGGTGTTATGAAGGGAGAAATGTGTAAAAAGGGGGTAGTTAAATGGGGGAGTTCCACAAAGAACTATGGGAATAAAGGAGTTAAAAATCCAGATACACAGGGGAAAACAAAGCCTTAAACACAGAAGGAACCCTATGGGGAGGGATGAAAGCCCTTCCAGAAGCAATATAGTTGTTAAATGAAAATCCCAGTGCCAGAGGTGGGTTGCCCTCCATGAGCTGCTGGCCTAAGAGACACCAAAGGTCCCCAAAACAATAAAGGCCATTGCTAATAATGTTGGTTGTACACCAGAAGTGGGAAGGAAAACCCTATTGCTGAAGACACTGCATGATGTGAATGTGGGAGATGGAGAATTCAAGCTTGGGCTAAACTGGAAACTCCCTGCCACTGGATAGGTGGCTTTCATGGTGCCATAAGGTAAGATGCAGATGACTAGGAGAGAATAGTCCCCTATAATTCTCCTCAATGACAGACCCCACCTGTTACACTATCAACACACCAAACAAGATGTTCCTGCTGATGCAATCAATAGTGGAGCTTCTAATGTATGTACAACCAGTAAATTTTCAATTGGATATAATGCCCAACCTAGGGGTGGAACACACATCTGGTACTGTAGACTCAGCCAAACCCCTGTGGTAGGGGAGAATACAGGCCCCAGTGGGAAGTCACTGCAATTGCTTTGTTAGATGGAAATGATGCACCTGCTAAGGTACCATCCAAGCATTCGTGTTTACAGCCATAGGTTGTTATCATAGCAGTCACAGTTTAGATGTTATTTCTTCTTGCTGTGTGTGTTTTTATAGTAGATGGAATCCCACTGAAATGGGCCAACAGCCCATAGAAAACAGATAATGCAGAGACCCAAATGTTCAGTGTCTTGCCACAATGGGAAGAAGATCATCCCACACCTACCACCCCCTCCAAGGGTCAGGGACTTTTGCAGAAGAGGTTGGCAGAAAGAATGTAAGAGCCAGAGGAAGGGGTAGAGTGTTAACTGGAAGTGTCCTCCAACCACTATGCCAGCAAGCTATAGTCACACCTCCTTCCCATGCTCATCAAGGAGTTGAGGGAGAAGTCAGTTACCCTTCCCACTCAATCAGTCAACCTTAGCTGCATGTGGAGGAGGGGCAAAGGTTATATAAGCCAAGAACACCAAGAGGCACTGCTCTCACCATTTTGTGTGGCTGTTGGGATGTCACAGGATCTGTATTTGAGTGTGGACTTTACAGCCCAGCTGTAAATGCAGGGTGTCCACTCTTGTGTAAACAAACCCCTACCCTATGCTCTATTAGCAAACTCAATTGAAAAATAAAAAAAAATTTTAAAAATCTGTTCTGTGAACTTGAAAAATACCAAAGCCCTAACTGAAATTTGAGCCTATGTCATTTGCCACAAACCATCAATTTTTTTTTTTTTAATTTTTTTATTTTATTTTATTTTATTTTTTTGGTCTTTTTGGAACAGGGTCTCCCTGTGACCCCAGCTGGCCTGGAGCTTACTGTGTGGACCAGGCTGGCCTTGAACTCACAGAGATCTTCCAGGCTCTACCTCCCAAGTGCTGAGATTGAAGATATATGCCACCATGCCCAGCTTAGGTCTTTGATTTCTTATCCCTACTTTTCCACCCTTAAACTTCATTGTGTATATATATATATATATATAATGCAACCTGCTTCAAGTTGTTTCTGGGAAAATGTGTAAAAATTGCCTCTCTTTGGAATAATAAAAATATTCTTTAAAATTTTTTAAATTTTTCATTCACATTTTCATCATATAACTTACCTCACCAGCAATACTTGATCCAAAATACTGATTCGCAATACCAAGAGCAACCTTGAGCCATATTTTATATTCCAGAGAAGGCCAGAAGACATCAAAGCCTTCATATAAATCTTCTATAGAGATGAAGAAGGTCTGAGATAACAAGGCACCAGGCCACAGACAGTTAAATTATAACCTCTTTATGAGTCAAGATAATCACTGTCTTCTCAGAAAACCCATTACCAACTCTAGCACACAAATACGATACTCTACCATTTAAAAGACTCAGCATTGTGAAAAAGTTGTATAAGATGATAAAATGTGTGGTCCAATGAAAACTAGACTTAAAATAGATTCAGAATATTCATATCACTCAATAGATAACTGAAGGATATGAGCCCAAGATTCAGGAACTAAGCTCTCATAGTGGTTAAGTTCACAGTGCTCCCTACTTACAGTATTTGTTACCAGAGACAAATTGCTTACCTAAATAAATTCAGAATTCAAGCTAAATGAACTGTAATGAATTCATTCGTTGTGACTAAATGTGCGCCTTCTCTCTCCTTACAGAAACAAAATGATATGAAATCAATAAGTCAACATTCCTTTCTGTTCCCTATATTCCTAAGACTCCCGATCCTGCTCTGTTGCATCAAGCAGCCTCAAAGATTAAGAACAATCTATAATGGGAACTTTAGCTCATTTTAATTTAACTGTCCACATCAAATGGAATTTTAGTCACTTATTTGTTGAATGAATTACTTCATAATTTGTAAGTGAAAAACAAAAGAAAGGAACTTTTAAAATAAATGAGTATTCTTTTTAGATGCTGTACATATAACAGCATAGATAATTTTCTAATCTTTATAATACCAAAAGGTAGGAATTCTCCCTACTTAATAAATGAAGAAATTAGGATTTGAGAAGTTACATCACTCCCCTGAGGTTCCCCCAGCCAAAACATGGTAGAGCTGAGCAGAACCTGGTATATGAGACATTAAATCTCTCTTCTCTAAGCTTTTCTATACTGCCTTGCAATAACTGGACAGATAACCAAATAAGATAACAGAACAAAGGAAGAAAATATATGGCACTCTTACTTGAGGAAAGATTAACTAATAACCTATGATAGAACTAGTTCCACAATTTCATACTTGTAAAGTAGTTTCAGATATGGCAGTATATTCATTTTCATGATAAAGCAAACAGCTCAGTTCTGCAAGCACATCCCCACTCCTACAATACTCTGTATACATAGTCTTGACCGGTCTATCATCCCTCTTGCTACCGTCAATCCCAAAGGTTGGAGATGAGCTATGCAACTATTGGGGAGAAAATATGCAAAGGGAAATTTAAAAATGGAAGATCATTTGAGTATACCCACTATTTACTACAGTATTGCAAAGGAAGGCAAAGATACTTTATAAAACACCTCAGGAATGAAAGAATTAGCCTGCACAAAAGTCACGGTTCTTTCATATTTCAATTCCCTCAGGGCAAAAGTCTTTCTCATGCAAAATATAAGGATTGTTGGGCTAGGGATGTAGCTCGGGGGTACAGTACTTGCCTAGCATGCTTGAAGCCTCAGGTTCAATCATTAGCATTGAAAAAAATAGCTTTTTTTATTTTTATTTTTTGTCCTTTTGAGACAGGGTCTCCCTGTAGCTGGCCTGAAACTCACTATGTAGACCAAGTTGGCCTCCATCTCACAGAGATCCGCCTGTCTCCACCCACAGTGTTGAGACTAAAGGTGTGTGTCACCATGCCCAGTTAAAAAATAGGGGCTGGAGAGATGGCTCAACGAGTAGCATTGGCTACTCTTGCAGAAGACACAGATTCCTCTCCAGCACCCCCATGGTGGCTAACAACTCTCTGTAACTCCAGGTCCAGAAGATCTAACACCCTCTTCTGACCTCCATGGATACTGCACAACACAGGTGCACTTATGTACATACAGGCAATACACTCATAGACATAAAATAAAATAAAAATAATAAATGAGAATTTAATTAGGGTTATTTAAGAATTAAAGAATATAATATAACATATTACCTTCCTTGGTCACCTTTATAAAGATTAAAACTAATCTCTTCATATCCCTATCACTATTAAACACTACTGGCTGAGTGACCCTAATCTAAATGACTGAAATTCAAAATGGTCCAGAATCCAAAACTTTGAAGTGCTGAAATAATAGCACAGGTAGAAAATTCCACACTTGATCTTATGTGATGGATCATAGTCAAAACACAGGTACAATAGAAATATTTTATAAAATTACTGTCAGGCTATGACAAGGTGTACAAGAAACAAATGAATTCAGTGCGTAGACTTGGGTCTTATTTTCAAGATATTTCATTACAAATATACCAAAATCTGAAAAAAATCCAAACTCTAAAACACTTCTGATTGCAAAGGATCTAATAAGGAATACTGCAAAAGGGAGTTAGGGATTGGGATTCCCATGTTGAGACTGAGGAAGAGCCACACACAGGACCCCCCCAATGCCAGAAGAAAGATTTGCTTCCTGGGAGAAAGACTACTACCACAGGCATATTTCCTGGCCTTTCTTTTTTCATCTTTTCTGTAAGTTGTGTTCACTTCTATGAGCAAGGCATGGGCAAACAGAATTTTTTTCTCCACAGTTTTGCTCAGAACTGTAAATAAATTCATTTTCCCATTTCTCTATGTCACATTGCTTTCTCCATAGACAGTGAGGGACTCCATCACTGCCTAAAAGGGAAAAAAGAAAATTCCTAGGACCAGAAAGCTGCAAGCAACATTTTGAAAGTACCATATCCAAAAGACCACCAAACATTGTCCCTTCATGGTTGCCAGTTTTGTTACTGGAGCTCCCAGCCACATAAAGCCTAGCTGTAGGTCTGTGATAGTTTAAATGTCAACTTGTCACAACTTAGAATCACCTGGGAAGAGAGTCTCAACTGAGGAATTATCTAGGCCAAGTTGACCAGTGCATATGTCTTGATTGTTAATTGACCCAGTCCATTGTGGGCAGCACCACTCCCTAGGCTGGGTCCTTAACTATGAAAGAATGAAGAAAGTTGAGCAGAAGCAAGCAAGCAACCATGCATTTACTCAGTCTTTGCTCTGGACTCTGGACATGATGTTGCCAGCTGTCTCACACTGATGATAGCCTGAAATTTAAGTCAATAAACCCTTTCTTCTTCTATGTTCCTTTCTGTCAGGATATTACATCATGGCAACAAAAATGAAACTAGGACACATACATTAAGAGACAGCAACATAACACAGAGAAATGGAAAATGTGGGGGTAAATTCTCAATCCTTCTCAACCTTGCTTATAACAGTGTCATAACTTAAAGAAGAAATGAAAGCCAAGAAATATGCATTTGGAAATGGTCTTTCTCCTGAGAGGCAAGTCCTTCTTCTGGCATAAAAGGTCCTATGGATGATGACACATCTTCATTCCCAACATGGAGTTTTCCTACAGAAATCCTAATTGCTAGGCCACCCTTTTACAATGCTAAATCTGTATATATTTAACTTATTTTGAACATTGTCCCCTCTCCTTCTATCGCTCCACTGGAAAATAAGTTCCAGATGGGCAGAAATTCTTGTCTATTTTATGAATCCTGTCCCTAGAATGAACAATGCTTGTTCATGATAAACAGTAAAATACCTGTTTAATCAATGAATGAAACTGTTTAAATTATGCCAGATACTTAGTATATATTACCTTCATAATATATTAGTCATAATAGTCTATTTCCATGATTGTGAAAGGTCTAAATCACTTTTTAGAATTTGAAAGTCAAATATACTGTTTTCCCTAGGATAAAGGTTTGTCACATAAGATCATCTTTTAGGAACTGGAAATTACTTGAGGTATAAGAAAAGCTTGCCATTGTGTTCAGCTACTAAAGTGCTTGTATGAAGATGTTGTGAAGCATAAGTAACAACTCTGACAGCATTTTGAAAAATGGGCACATTCAGATATTCAGTATGAGCATCCTGTCTCATCTATAAATTTACTCTCAGCAGAAATATTTTCATTTGGAAGAACCACTTAAAAATTTAAACCCTTTAAGCTCCAAAACTTCCCAAGTCACAGCTATATATTCAAAATGCATTTTAAGTAAAAAGAATCAGTAGTGTCTTACACTTGCCATTCCTGAAATAATTAGAAAGATTTCTTGTGGCATTTCACCTTCTCTAAAAGTGATGTCTCCATAGTCAAAATAGGCAAGTTTAGTTCTTTCCTGAATTAGGGAGGAGGGGGGAGAAAGAGGAGAGAGTTCAACCCTAAAACTTCATAGTCTACTTTTCTAAACAGAAATAAGATTTTAAAGTTAAAAACGGTTTTCAAGTAGAATAAAAATGAAAAATATATTCTTGGATTGTATATAGTATGTGCTATATAATGTGTATGTAATGTAATATAATTATAGCACAGATGTATCACATCGACTTTAATAAGTAAAAATATAAGCAAACAAATTACTTTGCCATTAATACTTAAAACAGAAAATATATGAACAAACCAGTAAATATGGAATGAATGAATAAATTAAAGATACAACCATGTTTAGAGGCTGGAGAGATGGCTCAGCAGTTAAGAGCACTGACTGCTCTTGCAGAGGACTGGAGCTCAATTCCCAGCACTCACATGGAAGCTACGAACTGTCCTTAACTCCAGTTCCAGGGGAATCCGAAGCCTTCTTCTGACCTCCTTGGCATTGCATGTCATGGGTTCACTCACATACATGCAGGCAATACACTCATACACATAAAATAAAAATAATAAAATATTTTTTAATATTTAGCCCTCATTTGGGGTTTGGATTTTCATGCTAAGCCAGACAAGTCAGCTCCTTGCCTCCAGAGGATCTTTTAGGGGGGTATTTTCAATAAAGTGTGATGGCTAAGCATACAGGAACAGGTCATTAGGGAGACCATGAAGCAGACCTACAGGACCTTTCATGGTTGTTCAGTAATGCCCTCACTGGAAAAAAAATGCTTTTTTATGGAAGAACTCTGTTTTAATATGTTCTTAATTCTTTTTTGTGGGTATGATGCATGTGGGTATGTATCTAATGTGTGTGCATGTGAGTGTTTGAGTGTGCATTTGTGTGTGTGCAGTCAGAAGACAGCCTCGGGTCAATCCTTGCCTTCCACCTTGTCTGAGCAGGGTCTTGGGTCTGGAGAGATGGGTCAGTGGTTAGAGACAGGGCCTCTTTGCTGCTTGCCACTGTGTACACTAAGTTATCTGGCCAAGAGCTTCCAGGAATTCTCCTGTCCCCACCCCCATCTTAGCCCAGGAGCACTGGAACTTCACACTTCCATGCCCCACTTTACATGGGTTCTTAGGATTCAAACAGGCCCACAGGCTTGTGTGGCAAACACTCTACCAATGACCCATCACCCCAGTCTAAACATACTTATTTTATAATAGCACCCACAAACATAAGGTAGAATTTTCTATATTTTTTATGGAGGAAGAGGCCTACAAAGGCAAAATTGCTAAGAGCCTGCACAGCACAGCCCCAGTGGAGCCAAGGCCAGGACCAGGTCTTAAAAAGACACAATAAAGAGTCTGAGCTTTAACCAAACAAGTGAATCTCTGAAGGGTTTTTAACAGGAAAAATCATGGTAACAGGTGGCATTTGAGAAATAAATGTAAGAAACATGTTTCTAAATCACCCACAGTGGCCATCTCAGAACCTGGGGTTAATAGCCAAGAAAGCAGCTCTCACTCCTCACTTTGTATGCTTCTGAGCTGATTGACAGCACTGAAATACGCATAGAAGCCATGACAATTCAAAAACTAAGTGCTCATTGCCTTGTATTATTTAGGTCTTGATTTCCTACCGTTGTCTTTCCACTTATCTGTAGAGACTGCTACCTTTTATGTGTGTGGGAGATGTATCTGGAGGGGGTGTGCATGTGTGTGTGTGTGTGATGTATGTGAGAGCATAGTTGTGAATGCTGGTGTGCACATGCCACAGTACATATGTAGAGATCAAAGGACAACTTTAGATATTGGTCCTTGCCTTTCACCTTGTTTGAGATAAGGTCTATTTTTTGTTGTTCATCACTGTGTACTCCAGGTTAGCTGTTGCACAAGCTTCTAGAAATTCTCCTGTCTCTACCTTCTGTCTCAGTTAGGAGTACTAGCATTACAGACACTTGCTACTGTACCCAGCTTTATGTGGGTTCTTGGGATTCTAACTCAGGTCCTCCTGCTTGAGCCACTGAGCCATCCCCCCAGCCCAACTACTGTGTTTATAATTAAGTACTAGTTGGGAGGCAGAAGCAGGGAGTAGAAAAAATTAACTGTATTTTCACTGTTCCTTGTAGCTATGACAGAGACCAAGAATGAAGTTGGTTCTTCTCGTTCACTGTGTGAATTTCAGTTATCCCCAATGAGAGTAATGGGCTATTCCTAGTGAAAAGAATGCCCATGAGTTTCCAACTCATCATGATTTTTACCCTGGTGAAACCTCACTTATGTGGCAATATATTAAGGGGCCATTAAAAGAGGTATCTGTAGGCATGTAGAAAAAGGCCTAGCAGCCCTACATTGATATGAGGAAAGTTATGGAGGGGAAGAAGGCTGTGTGCCTGGGCTTTACATTTGCCTCAGAAGCTTGAGAGTCATTAGCTTATGGAGTCATCGTCTCATCATTTTTACCATTTCTCTCAACTCATTACTGGGTTTGAAAATCATTTGTGAAAATTGTTACCTATAAGGAACCAAATTCTAAGTTTATCTTCAAATTCTATTTTTTTAAAAACTATATGGGATGCAAGCTGTAATAAACACTTTTCTTATATCTTCTTCCCAGTTCCAGCCCAGCCCCCTCCTGTTTATTGATATCTATTTTCCAAACCACCTCCAGCAGCCCATCTTCCAGAATTCCGCTTCCTCTTCAAAGCCACACTTGTTGAAGTCTAGGCAGCTGATACTGCCTACTGGACTACTCAGTGATCTGAACTGAGACACAAAGCCTGGGACCTGAAAACCTAATCATCATAGGTAAGTACTAGAAGAAAGGTTCACAAATTTCCATCAGGGCTGGCCTGGTTTCCACCTTGCTCATGGTTGGTTAGTGTTACAGACTGAATGCCTATGTCTCCTTAGAATTTACATGCTGAAATCCTAACAGGTCATAAAAGATGGAGTCCTCATGTTTGGAATTAGTGCCTTTATGAAAGAGACCTCAGAGTGCTCTCTTGCCATTTGTCGTGTGAAGACACAGAAAGAAGATGGTCATCTATGATGCAGACTCTCACCAGATACCAAATATGCTGATTTCCCAGCCTCCAGAACTGTGAGAAATAAGTTTCTGATATTTATAAGCCTCCTGGTCTATAGTGCTTTGTTACAGAAGATCAAGCTAGGACAGCCAGATGTTTCTTAGCTTCTGGATACCACCACAATATCTTTACAGAAAAATTTTTACTTACTGAAATTAGTTTAAATAGGTTTCTGCTATTTTCAACCAAACAGAGTCTTAATTTAACTAAATTTATATTTTGATGTGCTTTTAAATTATTTAAATTATTTATTTAATAACCACATGATTAGAAGCATTTCATTACAGCATTAACATATTCAATAATAATTTCCAGCACAAAGAGATGAATTAATACAGTTATACAATATTGAACTCAGTATAAACCCTATAAGACATAAAATTGAATGAGGTTTTAACCTTTAAAAAAGATCTCCATTTCATTACGTGTATGATTTTTTTGCCTCCATTGTATGTTAGTGCACCCATGCTGCATAATGTCCATGGAGGTCAGGAGAGGGCATTAGGTTCCCTGAAACTGGAGTTACAGACAGTTGTTATCCATCATGTGGGTCCTGGGAACCAAATCTGGGTTCTCTGCAAGAACAGCCAGTGCTCTTAACTGCTGAGCCATCTTTTCAGCCCCTGATGTGCTTTTTTTAAATCATTGGTTGGGTAGTAGAAAAAAAATGGGGAAAGTTTTCACATCAAGCCTGAGCCAGAATAGAACACAGAATTATTACCTTGAAGAACTCAATAAGAACATCGTTATTTTCCATCCAAATGATGTTAGGAAAGTATTTGTCTGGTGTAGGAGGCGGCATTGCCTTTGGAAAGTTGTCCAGTGCTTTTATTTTTGTGAGAAGTATCTAAAAATGAACATGCAAAGTAGTGGTGATTGTTTGTGACAAAAAATAAACACAAGGCAAAAACTAAGGAAGACTAATGAAATTTTGTTGTGCAGATTCAACCTTGCGTTTTGCCTCTGAGTTTCTCCACCCTCTGTATACTGTATTCTTTTCCCCTATTCTCTCCCTCTATTTTCACTTATTTTTATTTTATGCATTATTTTTATTTTATGTCTATAAGTGTATTGCCTGCATGTAGATAGGTGCACCCATGTTGTTCAAGGTCAGTGGAGGTCAGAAGAGGGTCAGATTCCCCTGGAACTGGAGTTACGGATGGTTGTTGGCCACCATGTGGGTGCCAGAAATCAAACCCAGGTCCTCTGCAAAAGCAGCCAGTGCTCTTAACCCCTGAGCCATCTCTCCAGCCCCTATTTTCACTTATTAACTCAGATCAAAGTGGTCATCTTTACAATCCAGTTTATTATATCCTGCCTTATTTTAGCCTCAAACTTTTTAAATTTCATGTTGATTACTATATGGCCTATCACCATGTTGACTCAATGTTTTTTCATATGTATGACCTCCAGCCCTAAACCTTTCAAATTTTGGAGAACACAGTTCCAGCCCCAACCTCTGAGAAGCCTCCTAGCTCCCCCATGATGTCAGAGAAAATCACTTTACCACTACCCCTATTCCCATAGCATTGCCTCCGTTTCTCTGTCATAGAGTTCATTACACTAGAATGTTGTTATTCCTGTGTCTGTCTCACTGTTCATATGTGTGGTAGTTTAAATGTAAAATGTCCCCCGGTGGCTTATACATTTAAATACTTGGTCCCCCCTTGGTGGCACTGTTTAGGGAGGTTATAGAATCTTTAGGTGGTGGAGCTTTTCTGGAGAAAGTCATCTGGGGGCAGGTTTTGAGAATTTATAGCCTCATACCACTTCCAGTACTCCCTCTCTGTTTTCCTGGGTGTGGATGAAAGGGGGGATCAACCAACTTCCTGTTCCTGCTGCCAGCTGCTGTGCCTTGTGCGCCATTATAAACTCTAATTCTCAGGAGCCGTAAGCCAAAATAAAACTCTTTCCCCCAGAAGTTGCTCCTGGTGATGGTATTTTATCACAGCAACAGGAAGGTATTTAGACAATACTACATAACTGTTGTTAGGTGGATACATAAATTATTAAATGAAAAAATAAGAAAGATACATGGACTCTGATGTCAGTATTAGACTCACTAAGTTTCATAGTTTCAAGAGTCCAAGGCACTTACTGGTTTCTAAAATACATTTGATCAATTGAACTGAATAAATTTTCCTCTCTCCTTGTGACCTAGAATAATTATAACTCTTTTGCTGACAACTGGGCAGTTAGGCAATATTGAATGATTGATTTATCCATTCCTTTTCTGAACAAACCTATAGGAACAATAAGTCTCTTTCCTCCAGCTATTATTTATTTATCAATGAGCATGTTACTTCGTGAATGTCAATTTGAAAGTGATAAAGAAGAAACAGAATGCAAAGCCAAATATGCTTATGATGTGTAACTCAAGGAATATATAAACCAGCCCCTTTCTCCCTTCAGACAGGCATTAAGGAGAAATCATACCACCCATTCAGTCCTTTCTTATGATATTATAGAGACTAAAGAGATAGACCCTTAAAGGGGAAAGCTGCCCTGTCCCACATCCTCCCTCCCCCTCTCTAACACACATCCACACAAATTTGGTCCCCTCCAAATATTATGTTACTGTCACCTTCAATGCCCAAGTCAGTGGGACTGGACAGTACGAACTCCCACTAGTAGATGAAGAAACAGGAAAAAAAAAAAAATCTAGCGAGTCAAGAGAGAAAGCAGAGGAAGATTTCAAAGACGGCACTCCTGAGAAGAATTACGGAATCTGGAAAACTTTCTAGATATTTCTTCAAGTCCCTTCCTGAAGCCTGGAAGTTCTCTAAATCTTTTCAAATAAATCTTTCAAACCTGTTTCTTTACTGAACTTAGCTGAAGCAGGTTTCTCTTACTTGCAACCAAGTATTTATGATAGGGGAACGTGCCAAGCAGTATTGGCTTTGGTTGCCACTAGCATCAAAAATGTAGCAAGAAATAGAGGTAGCACCCATGGTTAAACACTTTCCCCAAGCAATCTCTCTCTTTACCCTCTGCCAAAGTAACATCCTGGGGTGTACACGTTGTTAACGGAATCAAACAAAATGGAATAGCTTTGTTACCTTATTCATCTCAATGCCGTCACGTCTATTAATAAGGCCTCTCGACCGAAGGAAGGCGAGATGTTCCAGAGCTTTAGCAAACACAGTACAGATTGCCTGCTTTGTCTTCAAAGCCATGACCACATCACTACCTTCATGCTCTATGAGTCCTGAGAAAAATTAAACATGTAAGCAACCTATGTGATAACTACAAGAATAACTGATATTTTATTATAATTTCCAAAGTATTTGCACATCATTTTTCATTCTAGTTTCACACAGAAATGATGAGGCTGATAGGATTAATTTTTATCCCCATTATATGGATGAGAAAATTCAAAACTGGCTTCCCCCAGAAGCTAAAAGAAACCACTCTCTGCCTTATCCCACAGCATCTCCCACCTAGCTCTATCACAAATCTCATTGCATTAGAGCATTGCTGTTTTGATTTCTCTGTTTCATCTTCTATATTACACCATTTTTATTGTTACGATAACTAAAAGACTCAATGAGGGACTGACACAGCATCTAGACTTTGGCAGGTGGGTCTTTGTGAGATCAAGTCAAATACTTATGCCCTTTAATAAACATGAGAAGTCACAAACGTCTTAGAGTCTGAGCAAAGATTAACACTTCATACATCATCTTTATAATTCTAACACCAAGCACAATGTCTAATATATAGAAGGTCCTCACATTTTTTTCTTCACTAAAATGAGTTGGTTAGTGTGATGGTTTGAATGAAAATGTCCCCCATAGGCTCCAAGTGTTTGGACATTTTGTCCCCAGATGATGGCACTCTTTTAGGAGGCTTTAAAAGGTGTAGCTATCCTGGAGGAAGCATGTCACTGGGAGTGGGCTTAGAGAATTCTTAAGCCTTGCCAGATCTCCAGTCACCCTCTTGCTTCCTATGCCTGCGTGATGATGTGAGAGCTTAGCTTCTGCTGCTCCTGCTCCTGCTCCAGCCACCTCCAGCCACCATGCCTCCCTGCCATGACGGACTGTAATTCCCCTGGAACCATAAGCTCAAATAAACTCTTCTGTCTATAAATTGCTTGGGTCAGTGTTTCTATCACAGCAACAGAAAAGTAACTAATACAGCTAGTGTGGTGGTTTGAATGAGAACAGTCTCCTATAGACTCATGTATTTGAATACTTGGTCCCCAGTTAGTGGTTTGGGGAGGTATAGAATTTTTAGGGTGTGAAGCCTTGCTGGAGGAAGCATGTCTCTGGGAGTAGGCTTTGAGGGTTAAGAACCTTGCTCCACTTCCAGTTTGCTCTCTCTGCTTCCTGTTTGTGGTTAGGATATTATCTCTCCACTTCTTGCCCCTGCCACCTGCTGCCATGCCTCCCCACCATAAAGGACTCTTATCTCTCTAGAACTGTAAGCCAGAATAAATCTTTTTGTCTCTAAGTTGCTTTTGGTCATGGTATTTTATCACAGCAACAAAAAAATAACTGATACAACCAGTAAAATGAAGGATCACTATGATCTCGAGCATAGGATTAGCAGATTCACAGAACTAAAGAACTGATTCCTCACTTCTAGCCATGTGATCTCAGACAAACTAAGTTCTCTAAGCCTCAGTTTCAACAACTGTAAAATGACAATAGTGATAGTATATGCCTCATAAGTGATAATAACAAGAATTAAGTGAGGTGATGCACACAAAGCACTTTATAGTTCCTGGGGTAATAAGCATTCGATAACCACTTGCAGCAACTGTATAGAAATAAGCAGACCCTTTTTTAGGACCAAATCAAGGAATTCTCATATTATTCCATACTGATATAAAACACAGCATTTTGCACTAGTTCCTATGGCCCTGTTCTTCAGAGCACAGAAATGAAAATCTGCCAGTACATAAATGGCAGCAATGGGTTTGGGGTTTTATGAAGCAGTGCCAAAATATTTTGCTTTCTTATATACAAGTTTAGACATTCATTAGACTGTATTCTTTCCATTTTGATTTGGAAAGCATGATCACCATAAATTCATATAGCATCTTTCAATGTGGGTATGAATACAAAGTTGTTTTTATTTCTTTTATTTCTAATGACTTCCATTAGTTAAGGGTTCACCTTATGTTATATCCTCCACCAGATGCTTTGACACCCAGTCAAACCTGGTCTTATAAGGAAAGCAGAGCCAAGATGCTTGACATAAAATCCTTGGGCTCCTGTTATGTCCTCCAAGTAGAATGAATGTCAGTGCTCAAAGAAACAGTATTCCTTGCAGCCCTATGTTCTGGATAATCTGTACCATAAAGGGGGAGGGGCAGGGTAAATGCTCAAGAAATGCCACCTGTTGCCCTAAATTCTGCAGTATGCTGACACAAACAAGGCAAAACAACTTGTCATAGGTTACCTTCATATGCCTTTTACTAAAAAGCTTAAGGACTCTGACCTTACCGTCTTCATATTCTTCCATGTTTCTTCCACTCTTTTTTCTACATGGCCGCAGCAACTAACGGGACTATTCTAGCCTTCTGCTATTATACCTATTGGCATGATCAGACACTCCACCAAGAGTCTGCCTTTTTGAAGAATCTGAATCTACACAATATTGTTTTATCATCTTTGGCCCTTAGAGTCAGTAAAGACGGATTGAATAAATGAATGAATGAGATCATAAAGTACAGGATTTCACACCCTGTAATGCTCTGCCTGAGGCACCACCAAGCCTAGAAGAACAAAGCTCTTCTCCAATGCACCTTCACCTACCTGCTCAGGAGGTAAGTGACCTGGGTTTAGAGATCCTGATGGGGAGTAAGGAGAACAAGTTGCCTTCAGAGCAGCAGAGCCTGGAGGAACATCTACCAGAAAAAGGCTACCCCAGGGAGATGGATGTTGCTGGTCAAAGCAATCTTCCCAATTATAAAGGAAGCAAATGCTCATTACAGGAGGCTAGCAAACTTAAGAATAGGATATTGAGGAGAAAATACCCATCTATAATTGCATTCTCCAGATACTTCTGTGACTATTTGGGACTTTTTTCCTTCCCAGATCTGTCAAACTTGTATATTGAAGCTCAAATCCAAACCAACCATATTTAGAGAAAGGACCTTTAGGGAAGTAATGAAGATTAAATGAGGTCAGAAGGGTGGAGCCCTCACCCTGTAAGGGTGGGCCCTTAAAAGAGAAACAGGCACCAGAGTCCCTCTGTTCACACACAGAAAATCAAATGAGGACCCAGGAAAAAGGCAGCCATGTGCACAAGAAGCCGCTCTTCACCAGAAACCAACCTTGACAGCACCATCTTCTGGGATTTGGGCTTTCAGAAGTATGAGAGAATAAATATCTGTGGATTAAGAAAAAAACAAAACAGGAAACCAAAAGTTCCAACTACTTACCGAGCTCTCTAACAGCATCTTGTTTGTTTTTCTCCAAAATGTCACACAATTTCTGTAGGAAAATGTACACTTCTTATTACCTCAAACACAACCCTGGCTTCTTAATCTGATTAAAATTTAAAGAAGCATGACAGACTCTCACTGAGGTTGATTTAGAAGAATTATTTGCCTCAATTTTGCCTTCTCATGAGTTCTGTTACATTATCTGGGCTGAGACTCATTGCAATGAAAGTTGCACAGTTGGCATTTTGTGTTAACTGTTGTGTCTTATTGTGACTGTTATTAGCTGGAAAGGCTGGAAAGCTGGAAAGAGAAAGGAAGGAAGGGAGGGAAGGATGGAGGAGGAAGGGAGGGAAGGAGGGAGGGGAAAGGGGGGAAGAGAGAGAGAAAGGAAAGAGAGGAAAAAAGAAAGAAAAAGTCTGCACTCCATTGTGCACCACAGAGACTTCTCATAGGCAAAGAACAATTTAGAGATGTGCTGAGGGAACAGCTATTTAGGGATTTTGGTCTGTCACAAGCACAAAAATAAATCAAATAATGTAAAAATACAGTGTCAACTGAGTTCATGCTTCCTAAAGGCAACTCCTTACATAGATGGAGAAGTATTCTCTCCAATGGCTCTCTGTTCGCACAACAGATACTCGAGGGATGCTCACTGTGTCCCAGACATCATTCCTTATATAGCTGACTCTAACTTTGAGTCTTTCTGGAACATATTCTTAGCCACACCAACAACTCTGAGACAAAACAACCAACAGTTCCCTATGTACAGGTGTCTGCACTGCATTCAGATACTGTATGCCACAGGACTACTTATATGGAACAACTGGTCTATCATATGAAGTTAAAGCAAAATAAATTTTTGTTATTCTGTTTTGTTTGTGTTTAGGAATAAACACATAGTAAGTCCTTTGTTCTAAATATGAAAATGTGATCATTTTATTAAATAATTTATACAAATAATAGTTATTGGACTCCTTAGGACAGCAACATGCCCATATCCAGCCCTTATTACATTGTGCTAAGCCCCTTTCATGATGCACTGGATTTACAGTCACACTGTGACCCTGGGCAAGAGTGATGCACCCAGGAAAGCATAGGAACTAACTCCAGTTCACAGACTGCAACCAGGGAAGCAAGGACTGTGACATCTCTACAGGTAAGCTGCCACAGGCCAGTTTCCAGAACAGAGTCACTTCAGAAGAAGCACCAATCGAATAGCTACACACATCTCAAAATATCATTTAAATCTTTACTGTAGTCCCTTTTTAAAGTACCGGTGTGAGTTCATTTCATACCTCCCCAAAGCGACTACCTCTGGACAGCTCTGTCCTCTCCTGGATTCCTCACGTTGTTCTTGACTGACTCACCAGCTCTTGATTCCCTTTGCTCATCTTTCTACTTCTAATTTTTTTCTCCTATGAACTTCTCCATGCTTTTTGGTTTGTTTGTTTGTTTTTTCTTTAAAAAAAAAACAAACAAGCAAACAGTCTTACTCTGTAGCCCATGCTAGCCTAGGACTCACAGTGTAGTCCAAGATGACCGAGAACAATCTTCCTTCTTCAATCTCCCAAACTACTGAAATTACAGGCATGAGCCACCACATCCACCACCCACCTTCTCTATGTTCTTTTTTTTCTTTTTTGTCTCTTTTGAGACAGGGTCTCCCTATAGCCCCAGCTGGCCTGGAACTCACTATGTAGACAAGGCTGGCCTTGAACTCACAGAGATCTACCTGCCTCTGCCTCCCGAGTGCTGGGACTAAAGGCATGTGCCACCACACCTGGCTCTCTATGTTCTTTTTAAAATAGATGAATTTAGCCTTTCACTGTCTCTTTTAATTTTAGTCTTCATTCTTTATGGTAAATCAACAAGATAGAATTCTGTTGCACGTTAGTGTCGATCCCATAACAAACATAAGTAACTTCACAGCCCCTTTCTGTCTTGTGATCTCAGGAAAAAGTTGCACTTTCCTGGCCGCAAGCCCAAGGTTGCTAACAAACTCCATACAAGATATGTACCCAAGTCAGAAGACATGACCTCCAGCCCACTGTTTATCAGTACACACAGTCGCTATATTTAGGGATTTAATGTGACTTACATTCACTGTTGCATTTAAAATCAGGAGTTTCTCTTGAGCTGAGAAAATGCCTTTCAACTATTATACTGTTTAGTTTACATCCAGATTCACACTGAAATCAAGAAACATTGGAGTAAAAAACCAGAATGAAAAACAAGAAACAAATGCAACACAGATGAGAATGGACTCAGAGAAAGCAGAATTAACACAGAAAATTTTCAAAATAAAGAGATTCAAGATACTATCTGTCATACTAATTAAAAAAACTATTACTACAAAAAATAAGTGATTACAGTGTTTTGGTTTTGTTTTGTGGTTTTGAGGGGGGTTGCTTTAGTTTTTGTTTTATGAGACAGGGTCTCTCTGTAGCCCCAGCTGGCCTAGAACTCACTATGCAGACCAGGCTGGCCTCCTCCTCACAGAGATCTGCTTGCCACTGCCTCCTGGGTGGTGGGATTAAAAGTGTGTGCCACCCCAATTGGAGACTATTACCAAGTACAACTGGTCACAAACAGACATTGTGTATGAATTGCCCAGGCCTAAGTGACACATCTACAATGCAACCTCTACACCTAAGGCTCATGGAACATAGAACAGGGATAAAGAAGAGGACCATAATGAACTCTCAGTTCTCCATAATGAAGCTCCCTCATGCATCAGAGGGCCAGGAACACCAAAGGTCACAAATGGCCAAAATGTAGAGATCAAGAGTCTGCTGAATGATGGGACTCCTTTATTAGGCCACCCAAGGCTCAGGGACCATCGAAGAAGAGGGGGCAGAAAGATTGTAAAAGCCAGGGAGGAGGTGCAGGACTGTATGGAAACAGAGTCCTACAAGCTCCTGGGAACCTGCTCATATGATTCTATGGCAATGGTGTCAGCATACACAAGTCCCATGCAAACTCAGGCCGACAAAAACCCAGCACAGAACTGGTAAAATGAACAGCAGACCCCAATCTTTTATGAAGAAATATTGGCAACATACTGCTGCTAGGTGAAGAAGAGCTGATCTTCCTAAAACAAGGGATTCTAGATAGGCTGACTAGACCTCAATGAATGGACTTGCACTGGGGAATGTCTGAGGACACTAACTTGACACAGAAGACCTTAACAGGGATGACAGAGTATCCCTGGAATATGGGCTTCAGTCGGGGTATAAAGATGATTAAGGTTGATTGAGATGTTCTGTATGAAATACACAAAAATTCAATTAAAAAAAAGTGTGCCACCACACCTGGTGATTTGTTTTTCAAGATCAAGAAGTGACTACCAAAATTTAAAGCAATGGTTGAGCAGGTATACAAGAGAGCAGAATGAACACAGGCAGGACTAGTGACCTAGAAAATCATGTCAAGGTTCTTGTTAAAAGGGCAAAAAAAGAAACAGAAAGAGAAAAGCTGAAATAAGGACTAATTCTAGAAATCTACCCATATGTATTCATTAAAATGATCAAGAATCAAGGTAGCAGTGGAGGCTTTCACACAGGCAAGGGTCCAGGGTCTCTCTCTGCCTAGTACAGGAGCAAGCTAAAAGAAATATTTTTTTTCACTCACAAATTGTACTTTCTTTCTTTTTTTTTTTTTTTTTTTTTTTTTTTTTGTCTTTTTGAGACAGGGTTTCTCTGTAGCTCCAGCTGGCCTGGAACTCACTATGTAGACCAGGCTGGCCTTGAACTCACAGAGATCCACTGTACTGGGTTTAAAGGCATGCACCACCACACCCAGCCACAAATTGAACTTTCTACACATCACTATTAAAAGTCAACATTTTAACAGATTATTTGACTGGTGGCTCATCTTCATCTGCTCATCAAACTTTCATACCTGTTTCACTGCCAGTAACTATTCCAGAAGTATGAACTTCATCATGAAGCTCCGTGAATGCCCAATTCAAACTTGGGTTTCTCCAGTGTTTCCATTTTTCTTTTTTTCTTTTGTTTGTCTTTTTTGTTTGTTTGGTTTTTGGTTTTTGTTTTCTTTTGGAGACAGGGTTTCCCTGTAGCCCCAGCTGGCCTGGCACTCGCTATGTAGACCAGGCTGGACTTGATCTCACAGAGATCTGCCTGCTTCTGCCTCTCAAGTGCTGGGACTAAAGGCATGCACCACTACTCCCAGCTTGGCTTGGCTTGTCTGAGATAGATTCTCATGTAGCCCAGGATGGACTTAAATTCACTATATTGCTTAAACACTGAACTCCTGATCCTCCTGCCCTCACCTCCTAAGGGCTGGATTACAGGCATGTATCACTACACCTGGCTCATTTTTCTAAAGAGGACATCACAGAGGACAAATAGATTGGCAAGTCTTTTCTGCATCTTTTTCAAGACACTCTGGAATCAATTTATTAACCACTTCTTTCACGTCATTTATCTTCACCCCTCTAAACATGATTTCCAGCTTCTTCCAGTTTTGGCTGATCTATTGATGATGTGCATAAATGGTCTTCTATATGTAACTATTCTTTTTTAATAAACCCAGCACAGAACAGACAAAGCAGTTAACATTAGAAATCATGACATCAAAATGAACTTTAGGGCCAGCGAGATGGCTCAGTGGGGAAAGGTGCTTGCTGCCAAGCCTACTAACCTGAGTTGGATCCCCTGGACCCATGGTGGAAGAAGAGAACCGACTTCAACAAATTGCCCTTTGACCTCCACGCATGTGCCTGTACACACACACACACACACACACACACACACACACACACACACAAACATACAAAAGCAATCAATCGTCAATAAAATGTAATAAGAGTCAGGCATGGTGGCAGACACCTTTAATCCCAGCACTTGGGAGGCAGAGGCAGGTGGCTCTCTGTGAGAGTGAGGCCAGCCTGGGCTACAAAGTGTGTTCCAGGTCAGCTTGGGCTACAGAGAAACCCTGTCTCAAAAAAAAAAAAAGTAATAAGAAATAAAAATGAGCTTCAATCATGATTTGTCTTTTTTTTTTTTTAAACCGTGGAGCAGGTTTTGCCACACACCATGGAAGTTAACAAGGGAGCTTTTATCCTGAACATCCTCAGCAATTATTTGGAGTTTCTATGTAACTTTATCATTCTGCATATCATCAAGGCGGACTTCAGTCACAGCTAACAAAGTTATTTTAGTTCCTTGAGTCCCCATAGCTATTGTTTCTCCAATGTTCCTTGCACTGAATACAGTAGGTACTTTCACATCATCTGATTTTTCTTAGGAAATGAAACAGAACTTCCTTTTTGGCTTCCTTTTTGCTGCCTTTTGTAAAATGCTCAACTGCCATCTGCTGCTTAGAGGGTCAAAAGGGTTCAAAGGAGATACTGTTACTTCTACCATTGTATTATTCTCTACATGTAAACTTATGAGAGGTTTTATTTCCTTCTTTGTTCTCCCCTATATTACATCCAATGATCTTTCAGGCTGACAGGAGCCACTGAATATTCTTAAACAATTTACATATGAAATTTTAAATAGTCTTTTCAGGGGCTGAGAGATGGCTCAGCGATTAATAGCACTGGCTGCTCTTGCAGAAGGCCTGGGTTCAGTTCCCAGCACCAACATGTCAACTAACAACCATCCATAACTCCAGTTCCAAGAGATACAATGCCCTCTTCTGGTATCTACAGGCATTGCATGCATGTGGTGCTCTTACATTCAGGCAAAACGCTTGCACACATAAAATTAAAACAAATAAAATTTTTTAAATCTTCAAAATAGATCTTTTGAAACATTATTCATTGCAAGGAGTGGCCTACAGTGGGCAGACTAGTATGAGGGATGTTGTTAGAAGATGATTCATTCTGTCTCTGAGCTTCTGTTTGATACTAACTGCATACTGCTAGGAAAAGAGATGAATCGTGAATGATAAAAATACATAAATAGGTAGGTAGATGATAGATAGATAGGTAGATAGATAGATAGATATAGATAGATAGATGATAGATAGATAGATGATAGAGGACAGATAGATGATGATGATAGATGATAGATAGATAGATGATAGATAGATAGATGATAGATATAGATAGATGATAGACAGATAGATAATTGATAGATACATGAGAGATGACTGATAGACAAATGATAGATATATAGAAGATGATAGATAGATAGATAGATGCTAGATAGACAGACAGACAGAGATAGATGATAGATAGATAGATGATAGATAGATGACAGATAGATAACAGATAGATGGAAGATAGATCGATAGATAGATAACAGGTAGATGATAGATAGATGGATGATAGATAGATGATTGACAGAGAGACAGATAGATGATTGATTGATAGATAGATGATAGATAGATAGATAGATAGATAGATAGATAGATAGATAGGGAGAGAGATGAAAGATAGACAGAGATAGATAGATGATTGACTGATAGATGGATGATAGATAGATGATAGATAGAAGATGATAGATAAATAATTGATAGATACTTGATAGATTATAGATAGATAGATGATAGAAGATGATAGATAGATAGATGATAGATAGATAGATAGATGACAGATAGATAGATAGATAGATAGATAGACAGGTAGATACTCACCACCTCCATAGCACCAGGATTTTAAGTTTTCACTGTTAAATCTCTATCTCTGTTCTTTCTTTCCTGTCTTCTTCACCTCTTACAACCCACCCCAGAGGTGAGGCTTTGTTTAGGTCTCTGTTCTGAGATGAAGCATCCTATCTTTTAGAGTATTACAAAGACAGACTCACTCTCTTCTCTACTCTGCACTTACTCAGTGAATCACTTGTTCTCTGCTGTGAAGATAGCAAAGGAGTTTGATGGTAACAGCAGCAATGTAAAGATCAGAGATGGGGGCTGGGAGATAGCTCATTCAAGAAAGTGATTTCTAAACAAGTGTGAGAACCTGAGTTCGAACCCCAAAACCCATCTGGAAAAGTCAACATAATGGCATGCACTTGTAATCCCAGTGCTGAGGAGGTAGAGACAGGCAGATCCCTGGGACTCCCTGGCTAGCCAGCTACACGGTGAGCTCTAGGCCCATGAGAGACCCCATCTCAAAACTCAAGGTAGATGATGCTCCTGAGGTTATCCTCTGGCTTCCACCTATACATGCACAGGCACATCCATGTATACCTGCACACACACCAACATGTATCCACATGCATACATAAACAGAAATTAACAAGATCAGAGACTGTTCTCTGCAGCACCTTTATAACAAGCATTTGAACCCCTAAGACTAATAGAATTTGTCTGTTTGATCAAATACATGTCAAATTGATCTTAAAAGAAATGAATACACCTAAGTATAGCCATCCCCCCACCCCCTAAAAAAGGAGACCATTGGTTTTGTTTTGTTTTGTTCTTACTTTATAGATTGATTCATGGCTGGAAATTTGCCTTACTAAAAGCTTGGCATCTTCTTGACTTTTGACGTAGCCTTTTGTAATACTGTACATCAAGCCAAGACTCCTTTTGATCCGCACATCTGCAATATTTATTAGTATTGGTATTCAAGCCAAGACTCCTTTTGATCCGCACATCTGCAATATTTATTAGTATTGGTATTATAATCTGGAATTACAGGGAAGAAAAAAGAGGCATAAATTCCATGAGATGTTTTCTCTCATAAGAGATCCTATCTTACCATGGTTATACGTATGTAGATAAGCCGGGGTGAATGTGGGCCCAGACTAGGAGCCTAGGAAGGAGATAAAAAGCAAAAAAAGAAGTTGAGGAAGGCAGAAAGGGCAATGGGGCACATGTGATGTAAAAGTTGAAAAGAGGCTATGGGAAATGGAAGGATACAGAAGGGGTCTGGAGATGGGAGAGAAGAGCCGGGGGAGAATTAACAAAAACCTAATTTTATTTGAATACACCATACTGAAACCTAATACTGTGTATGCTAATTTAAACTTTTAAACTCAAAAAACTTTTCATGAGGAAAAGCATTCTCTCAAAGTGTCATCTCCAGACCAGCAAAGCCATACCCAGAAACTTTCTAGAAATGCTGACTCTAGGCCTGTCCTAGACCTGCTATATCAGACACTCTAGGACGTGTGCCAGCAACAGATGTCTCCACAAGGCCTTTGGCTGACTCCACACACATGCTTGGGTTTGAGATCACTCCTAAGGAAATCCAAGCTTTATGAATGACACTCCACAGCTTTAAGTGGAGCCTCTAGCATGCCCCTTTCCCTTGTTCTCTCTACTCTGCAATTTCAGATCCCCAGCACCCATATAAAAATCCAGACATGGTAGTGCACATCTGTAACCTAACACTAGGGGCTGGCAGAACAGAGCCAGGCAGGTTCATGGAGCTTTCTGACCAGCCAGTCTAGTCAACTGATGCTAATAGAAATTTTTTTGCCACTAATCCTCTATCATTTCAATGTATACTAACAGTCTTTTTTCATGTGATAGGAATTAAGCAGCAGGGATTGGAGAAATGGCTCAGCAGTTAAGAACACTGGCTGCTCTTTCAGAGGACTTGGGTTCAGTTCCCAGCACCCACATGTTGGCTAAGAACTCTCTGTAACTTCAGTTCCAGGGGACCTGACACACTCATTTGGCCTCTGTAGGCATTGCACACACAGGTGCACTTATATACATGCAGGCAAAATACTCATACATATAAAAAAATAAACAAAAAGAAGTAAATAAAAAGAATTAAATAACAAACATGGATTGATAAATGAAATCCTCTAAAACAACCTGGTTAAACTCTTGGATAATGCATCTTCCTTGGAAAGAAAGAATGGAGTTGAGATGGAAAATATAAATATCTGCCTTTAGAATTCAAGCCACAATCACTGGAAAAATGAATAGTAATTGTTAAGTAGGTGAAATGCCACCTTAAGAATAAATTCAAGGGGCTGGAGAGATAGCTCAGCGGTTGAGAACACTAGCTGTTCTTGCAGAAGACCTGGATTTGGTTCCCATCACCCACATGGCAGCTAACTACCATCTTCTGGTCTCCATGGAGACCGCACACATGGGATGTGCTTACATACATCCAGGAAAAACACTCATAAACATAAAATACACATAAAATAAAAATAAATATTTTAAAATTAATAGACAGCAAGCTATGTGAGTATGGGGCTGTAGATAAAATATTTTAGTTTCTACATAGTTCTGGAGATTAGGAATAAATTCACTGAAATATAAAGATCTTACTCCAGACAACTCTGCTCCAGCAACATTCATATTTTCATTTATTTACCCGACAATTATTATTTCATTATCTGACAAGTGCTGTTCAAGAGTCAGAGGTTACATCAGTGACCAAAACCAAAAAGCCTCTCTTTGTGGAGTGACATTACATCATCAAAAGGTGACATAAGTGATCTGGGAAGGAAAATAAAAGCCAGGCAGGTAGGTAGGTAGACAAACATCAAGAGGATGGGCTGCAAAGCTGGAGATATGGAGGGTGGATTTCCATGTTTACATGAGGTGATTGAAGAGGCCTCTGTCAAGGCAAGATTTAGGCAATGACTCAAAGGAGGTAAGGGAGCAAACTAAGCAGGTATCTAGTAGAAGAACATTCCAGAAGAGGAAGTTCCTTCTCTTATTTCCTTCAAAACAGTGAGGCTTATTAAATAATTTAGGAAACAATGTAGGAAAACAATATTTTAAGGTATGAAGCCTTACCTTGAAGATAGGAAGAAACCTAATGACTCTAAAATATCCTATTATCACTGTAAACTGAATAAGAAACAAGCTGTCTGGTCTCAGCTTGACAGAGCATAAGCACAATATATCAATAATTCCAATAATTATGATGAAAAAATCCAAATTATTCCACTTCTGATGAAAGTATTTCCTTTTTAAAATGAGTATCTGTTTAAAAAAATAGAATTTTGTCATTTCATAACAACTATACACCGACATGAGAGAGAGAAATCTTTAAAACTGTCCTCAACTACAAATGAGTTGTATTCTAAAGATTTATTTCTTATTTTGCATATGTGTGTGTGTGTTTGTGCATGTGTGCGTGCGCACGCACACCCAGGTGTACGTATGTGTACCACATGTGTGCAGTGCATTATTGAGGCCAGAAGAGGGCATTATATCCCCTGGAACTAGAGTTACAAGTGGTCGAGAGCTGCTCAGTGTGGGTACTGGGATTGGAACCTAGATATTCTGCAAGTGCTCCTAGGCCCTGGGCCATCTCCCTATTCCTCCACGAGTTGTATCCTGAATATTGAACATTGCTATTTATCTGGAATTCCTCCAAATTATTTTTAATCTCCAACATGAAAATTTAAACGTGATCTAAAAATAGAACCTATAATTAAACTTCAATGCCCAAAACAAGGACTTAAAGAGCAATAAACACATTTATCATTATAATACTATTACTAATAAAGTATGAAAACTCTATTGTAGATAAACTATCTTTGAAGCATTTGTCTTGGTAAGTAGTCTTCATGTTATGACAAGGATCTAGAAAGCCAGTTTATTTTATTTGCTTATTTCTTTCATTATTGCAAAAGTGTTTGAGAGAAGCATTTATGCCTGAAATTTTCTATTTTATTTTACCTGATCCTTGGGAGTGTCTCTATTTTTATGATATTTAACTGATGTCCAAGGCTGTAACTGTTATAAGTGATTTCATTATTAAACTCAGAAAACTCCAAAATGCTGCCAACATTCCAAGAGCCCATCAGCTATAGTAACAAATAGCTCCTGACATCAAGTTGTTTCAATAACACAACAAAAATAGATTCAAGATAATCTAAATTATCATTTTTATACAATATATTTCTATTTTAAATAGTACCTGCAGTGTTGATTTTAATATATATAAAAATATAAAATAGTAGTTTATTGATATCAATGCTGATACATTTAATTCTCTTGCCATTGGCCATAAATGTATTATCATAGGGAAAATATACATGACTGTTACAATATGTGTTGCATATTCAAATTCTTCTGAAATTATAATATAATATACAAAAGTCAGAAATTTATTACTCCTGAAAAACATAAGAGCAAACAAAGTATCAGATCACTTAAAGGTGTAAGAAGCAAGCACTGAGGTCCAACATGTGTCTAAACAAATCACTAAGATTAATTTGAAGAAAACCATAAGTAATATAAAACAACAGGCAAATAAAAATAACAAGTGTACTTTATATATAAATCACAATAGAGAAAGATAAATAGGATGGCTCTGTTAAGGTATCTCAGGCATGGGGAGCACTTTTTAAGTCACAGCTACAGGACATAAGGAACTATAAAGATTCATAAATCAAACACTAAAACAATATATTTAGAGGAAATGTGTTATACAACAGCATTGCTTAAAAGTTTTGAAATAAGGAAAATAGTCTATTCTGTAATTACCATAACACATAGCGATCCAAAATACAGCTGAATGAAAGAGGCTCCCTGATGTGATAGCTGGTTTATGTGGTCAACTTGATTGGATTAAGAAAAACCTGGGGTGTTGGATCCCTCCTTCTGCATTGTCAGATATCTTCTACAGGCTCCCAAAACAATACAGGCTATTGCCATTGCTCTTGGCTGTCCACCAGAACTAGACACCAAGTGCCTGTTGCTGAAAACAACACATACTCTGGACATTGGACACGAAGAAACTAAGTTGAAACTGAGCTGGGAGCTTCCTCCCTCATGGCTAGCATTCTTAGGGATAGAAGGTGCTATGCAGGCTGTTGAGGAAGAAAAATCATCGATGGCCAAACCCAGCTGTAGACCTTGCATGCTTTAATACTGAACTGGCTGGCAAAATATACCCACTGGTGTATGAATGGCATGAATTTTCTGAGGGAAATAACCACTTCTTGGTTGGATTTGAGGCCCACTCCACTGTGGAATATATTTCTGGTACTGAAGACCTGGTCAAAACCTTATGGCGAGGGAGCTCACAGTCCTTATTGGAGATCTACAGTTAATATATTATCATATGGACATGTAGTTTCACTGCCTTCCAAATATATATATCTTTACACTCACAGACTCTCTGCCTTGGTCAGGGAAGCCTCTTCCAGCAATGGACAATGGTCACAGTTCTGAGAATAAGAGACTGCTGTGTACCCGGCCCCAAACTGCTGTCTATGTTACCCCTCCAATGCCTAGGGATCATCTTGGGCAGGGTGGGGCTGGGCGGGGCAGAGTAAGCAGCCTTTCTCTCTCAAGGCCATCCTTTCCTTGCCTGCATGGACTACATACCCTCTGAAACTGTGAGCCAAAATAACACTTCCTTAAGTGACTTCCTGCCAGCATTTCATCACAGCAATGAGAAAAGTAGGTAATACACCAAAAATATGTCCAGATGGTAGGGTTTTAATTTTTATATTATCTTTAAATTAATTTGATGGAAGAATAAAAGCAAAATACTATCAGATACAAAAAGGTTAATACTGACTTAAAATTTAGGAGCATGAGCTGGAGAGATAGCTCAGCAGTTAAGAGCACTGACTGCTCTTGAAGAGGACCCAGGTTTGGTTCCCAGTACCCACATGGCAGCTAGCAACCATCTATAACTTCAGTTCCAGGGAATCCAACACCCTCTTCTGGCCTCTGCAGGCATTGCTCACACAGGTGCACTTACATACATGCAGCCAGAATATTCATACATGTAAAATTAAAATAAATTAAAAATTTTTAGCAGCATTTGTGTTCCTGGTATGTTCTAGTTTTGGCATCTTCCATTGGTAGAAAAATATTGTTTTCCAGCTCTAAAAATTATTTTTGCTCACAATCTTATGACAAAGTTAAAAAATCTCCTGGGTGTGGTGTGGCACATGCCTTTAGTCCCAGCTCTAAGGAGACAAAGGCAGGTAGATTTCCATGAGTTTGAGACCAGCCTGGTTTACACAGTTAATTCCAGGCCAGCCAGAGATGCATAATAAGACCCTGTCTCAAAAAAAAAAATCTACCCATGTTAAGGAAAATCTATATTCCATAATATTTTGGAAAATTGGTGATAGGCATTTTAAGGTCATGTTGCCTTTTACCTAATTAGAGACATCAAAATAACTATTATATATGGCACAAACAAAGCTAAACTTAGAGCTAGAGATTTCTTGCCCTTGCTCTGTGCTATATCCAGGTGACTACTGCAAACAACACAGAATATAAGACAGTTCTAACATTCCACCATTTTTAAATTAGGGTATCAATGAAGTTGCTAAAATGAAGGAAAGAGGAAAAGCACTCTCTTTAGTTCCCATTCAATCAGTGAGAGTCTACCATATTAATAGCTGCATGTGAGTGAGGAAAATCAAGATACTCTACTCTGAAAATATATAAAGGTTTATAATTCTTACCTGGGTACAGTAAAAAGTATTTTTTCTTTGCGATAGTCCAAGTAATGTTTTTAAACATTATAAGCCAACTTCTAGCTCTTACATAAGTTGAAACATCAGCAATACTCATGAATCTAAGAAAAGTATACATATGTGTTATTAAAATAGCATCTCACATGAGGCAATTAAAAAGGGGAAATATGTAAAAATAAATTTAATGTGGACTTACTAAGTATGTTTACTCAGTCCTTAGCCTCTGCATGCATCCACCTAACTACCATGGTCATGTTTCAGTAATATTTTTAGTCTGAGATACCTATACTCCAGTTCCTAGAAACATTCCTGACCTGAGATGGAACATAATTCAAGCCCCTCTAGGCCAGTCCTTTGGAGTTCTGAATTTTCATCATGTGTTACCCAGCCCTGGGGGAAACTGAATACCCCAACTTTCCCAAATGTAAGCCCAGGGACCAATTACAGGCCTCTCAAAGAGATCACCAGGCTTCGAGTATTAACTACCACGCAGCTGGCATCTCTACCACTCTCACAGCTTTGTGTCAGATCATCTCCTCACTAATGCATACCAGGACTGTGATCAGATATTAATATATCTCTAAGATGCCAAGCTTTTCCCAGCAGTTTGCATTGCATCTATAAGTGCCATAACTTAGGTCAGTTCCTGCAGAACCCACACCATCCCCAGAAAGCAGCCTAAGAGCAGAAGCCAGATATCTGTGCCTTCTCCAATAGTTTAGTGACAATGATATAAGGAAAAATAATTATGAGTTAGCTAAAGCTGTATTGGTTCTTATCTATGGATTTTCATGTCTCTATCTAATCCTGGAGTGTCATCAAAATTATGAAACTGCTGTGGGGTGCAGAATGGGGAAAGACATGCAAACAAGAAAAATAGAGTCAGAAACAAATCGTAGACAGCCTATATAGTATCATGTTCAAGGCCCTGGGTTCTGTCACCAGCACAAGAAAGACAGGAGAAAGAGAGAGACGGAGGGAGGGGTGGAGAAAGGGAGGGATGGAAAGAGAAGAAAAAGAATATTTTTAATGGATGGATGGATGGATGGATGGATGGATGGATGGGCAGGTAGACAGATGAATGTAGATAGCTGAGATGATAGACTGGTTAATATAGACAATTATTTGTTTAGTATCACATAGTCATTGAGTTTTGGAAATATCAATTAAAGAAGTATCATACTTACTTTCCTTGGATGGGGCAATAGCTTTTGGTTGCACCAATTAATACTCGGGCTGCCTCTACTTCAAGGATTCCATCACTACATTGTTTTTCAAAGCTACTCTAAAATATACAATTTTAAATAGAAATTACAAGGAATCAAAACATAAATGTAATGGCTGGGGTTGGTAGCTCACATTGCAATCCCAGCACTTAAGAGGCAGGAGGATTGTCACGAGTTCCAGGCCAGCCTGTGCTATGGAGTGAACCCCTGCCTCAAAAGCAAAAATGGAAACAAAGAAAAATGTAATGTATGCTTCTTTTTAAGTTTTTAATTTATTTTTACATTGTGTGTGTGTGTGTGTATGTGTGTGTGTGTGTCTGTGTGTCTGTGTGTCTGTGCGCGCAGATGCGTGGGCGTGTGGAGGATGGATGGATGGATGGGCAGGTAGACAGATGAATGTAGATAGCTGAGATGATAGACTGGTTAATATAGACAATTATTTGTTTAGTATCACATAGTCATTGAGTTTTGGAAATATCAATTAAAGAAGTATCATACTTACTTTCCTTGGATGGGGCAATAGCTTTTGGTTGCACCAATTAATACTCGGGCTGCCTCTACTTCAAGGATTCCATCACTACATTGTTTTTCAAAGCTACTCTAAAATATACAATTTTAAATAGAAATTACAAGGAATCAAAACATAAATGTAATGGCTGGGGTTGGTAGCTCACATTGCAATCACAGCACTTAAGAGGCAGGAGGATTGTCACGAGTTCCAGGCCAGCCTGTGCTATGGAGTGAACCCCTGCCTCAAAAGCAAAAATGGAAACAAAGAAAAATGTAATGTATGCTTCTTTTTAAGTTTTTAATTTATTTTTACATTGTGTGTGTGTGTGTGTGTATGTGTGTGTGTCTGTGTGTCTGTGTGTCTGTGCATGCAGATGCATGGGCATGTGGAGGTCAGAGAAGAACTTGAGGGAACTGGTTCTCTACTTCCACCACATAGGTCCAGGAGATTAAGCTCAGGTTTCGAGTTCAGTGGCAAGTTCCTTTACCCACTGAGCTGGCCCCTACTGTATGCTTTGTCATCTTTACACAACTCCCACTTATTACTAAACCAAATACAACTGGTTGGGTATGCCATGGGTTCTAGATATGTGAATTCAATCAATTTATCATACTTTTAAGGGTTAAATAAACACTTGAGGGAATCTCATATAAAAGGAACTCAGTATATTGAATTTATAAATTCAATATAGTTTCAGCTGGGTGAGGTGACTCATACCTGTAATACCAGCCCCTGGGAAGTCAAAGCAGAAGGATCAAGGCCAGCCTGGGATACATAGTAAGGCTCTGTCTCAAAACAACACCAAAAAAAAAAAAAAAAAACCTTTCAACACTTAAAGATGCTTAATTATCTAAGTATGTAAATGGCACCCTAAGAACCCACTAAGTTACAGCTAAAACTCATTCATCTTAGAGACAAAATAATGTTTGTGACTCTAATTCAAAGCCTAAGAAGGAAGGTTTGGTTTGGCTTAAACATTAATAACTGAGGCTGTGAAGATGGCTCAAGCAAAGGTCCTCAAGCAGGAGGACCTGAGTTTAGACCCCTAGTGTGCACGTAAAAAGCCAGATATAATTTGTGCCTATAATTCCAGTACCCGGGAGGTGAAGAGGACAGGAGGATCCCTGGGGCTTACTGACCAGCTAGTCTAGCCAAATCAGTGAGCTCCAGTCTCAGTAAGAGACAGTGTCTCAAAAAATTAAAGTGGAGAGCAATTGAGAAAGATACCCAATTTTGACCTTTGGCCTCCACATGCATGCACAGACATGAACACATACACACACCAAATAAATAAACTCCGATAACTCAAACATTAAACAGTCAATAGGTTATCAGAAGGCAGAAGCGGTTTTCTAATCACCCCCAAACCAAGGATTAAAGGCATAATAAGAAAAAACTTTTAAAGATTATTTGAACAATACCAACCATTTGTATTATGGCCACATACAATCTGGCTTCTTCTATTAAAACTTCATCTGTCGGGGACTCCTCTTTTTCACCATGGGAAACATGGGAAAACTTAACAGTATGAGTCTGTTTTAAAATCTAAAGAGATAAAGTCAAAAACAAGTAAAAAAGGTTAGGAGGGAGCAAAGGCTATACTTAACAAAGATTTCAATAACTCACATCACAGTTGCTGAAATGAGAGGCTGTACATAACCTGGGCAATGCTTTTCTGAATATGACTATTGTTTTCAATTGAGGGGAAGGAAAAACTCCTTTGGGGAGATTCAGAGGCCAAATTTTCCTCTTACACTTCAGGGATCTCTGCATCAACCTGTGTGTTTTGTTTCTTATACTACATAGGGAGCTATCCCTCAGGATGTCAACCTGCTGGAAGTATCATCTTGGCAGGGGTCACTGACTGGAATTCAACCAGCCACTTGGTATATCCATTCTTCTGGCACTAAGACCTTCTCTTTAGAGACAGAATTCAAAGAAGTCGCTTTACCAGAACAACAAAGCTAGTAAAGATTTCCCCTCTTTTTCCTTCACTCAGCAAAATCAGGTATGCTTTGGGGGTGTGGGTAGGGGTGAGCCCATGAATGTGCAGGCCAGAGGTCAACCTCAGGTATTAGTCCTCAGGGCAGTCACCCACATTGATTTTGTTTTTGTTTTTGTATTTTGTTTTTTTAAATATCAAAGGTTGCTCTTAATTTTTTATTCATTAAATTTGTTTTTTGACAATTTCATATGTGTAACTTTGGTTTATTTTTTTTTTACGTGTATGAGTGTTTTGCTTGCCTGTAAATGCACCTGTGTGTTCAATGCCTGTGGAGGTCAGAAGAGGGCATCGGACCCCCTGGAACTGGAGACACAGACAGTTGTAAGCTGCCATGTGGGTTCTAGGAACTGAACCCAAGTCCTCTGCAAGAGCAGCAAATACTCTTAACCACTGTGCCATCTCTCCAACCCTGACATGTAACTTTTGAGATAGACTCTCTCACTGGGTCCTGGAGCTCATAAATTAGGCAGACTGGCCAGCCAGTGAACTCCAGGGCTCCCCAGTCTCAGCCTCCCCAGCACTAAGACTGCAAGTATACACAATCATGCCAGGTTTTTTTATGTGTCTCCTGGAGATCAAACCCAGATCCTCATGCCTTTATGACAAGTACTTTACTCACTGAATGATCTCCCCAGCCCCAGAATCAGGGTTTTGTTTTTTAGGTTTTTTGTTTGCTTGCTTGCTTGCTTACTTGCTTGCCTTCCTGCCTGCCTGCTTGCTTGCTTGGCGACAGGATCTCCCTGTAACCACAGCTGGCCTTAAACTTGCTATGTAGAACAGGCTGGCCTCAATCTTACAGAGATTCACCTGGCTCTGCCTCCTCAGTGCTGGGAGTAAAGGCTAGGATCAGCTTTTTAATATTGACTCAGGGAAGACAGGCAGACCAAGGGAGGGAAGTACAACTATCACTTCGCTATTCATCAACTCACAGAATGGTATTCAGTCTTTGCTTTATCTTCTACTACATTCCAATTAACATTTGTCAGAAGTTTTTCTGATTTAAATAAAGTTATTGTGTTCCGTATAATTGTCTGTATGTGATGAATGGCATTTTTCATGGCAGTTTGTCTTAGGGGAGACAGAGCACACAAACCTGTGATAAAGAAAAATGAAGAACTTAACAGAGTCCACCCAGCTTTCCCCCTCCCCAGACCTCACTGCTAACAATGGTCTTATTTGGTATCTACTGAATTTGTAGTTTTACTGTACTTGTGCATTGTATTATAAATAGCTTCAAATTCCTTTTAGATTTCATTAAATGTTCCTATTTGTGGCTTTATTGTATCTATGTATATTTTTATCTTCAAACTCAAATTCTTGGAAAGTGTCTCCCAATGTCTGTTCTCTGCTTCATCCTTTTTACCAATATAATCCCGGGCTTTCAGCTGAGCACATGAACATTTAGGGAAAAACAAAAACATCCAGATTGTATCACTCATCGCATATGCACATAATTAAGTTCTGGCCAATAGAATGTGAGTGGAAGTGAAATGTAGAACTTCTGAATTGTGGGCTTAAAAGAAAGCTGCTTATCCTGCACTCCCCATATTCTAACTTCTCCTTGATGCTTGATTGCATTGTGGTCATGGTGGGGATGAGCAGGGCTACACTGCAGACACAAAGACACCCCAAGGGACAGAGAAGCAACAAAAGAAAAGGGATCTGTGCCCCTGGACAACCTGAGGTAGCAGAATCATCCCATTATTCAGGGCTTTTTGGTGAAAGGGAAAAAAAAAAAAACAACTTCTGTTTTGCTTAAGCCTCTGTTTAGTTTGTTTCCATTAAATTATATGATCCAATCCCCCAATCAATGAAGTATCTATTTATAATTAGAAAATGAAAATAACTGATTTCTAAATCAACTCCTGAGACCCATAAGAAACGTCTGCATGGCCCTACAATAACAACCTATTTGCATTTTTCTCCGCTGTTAATTTCTGAATAACACATATACTTTACCCAATGTCCTGGCAGACCGAAGCATCATATGTGAATTTATTCCCATTGTCAATAATGACAGTACTTGTATATAGAATATAAACTAAAAAAAAAAAAAGTAAATGGTTAGGCCTAAGATATTAAATACTTTTTCCAGGGTAAATACTGTTCATTTAACTACCAACAAAATTCTGTGTTTTTAATACTGTCTCTGATAAGTTGAAGCAAAAGCGTTGTTTTCTTGGACACTCTTTGAGCACAGTACACTAGGACAGAAATTAATTTTCAATTTGAATAAAGAAAAGACTGTATATTCTAGGATAAGGACTCTGAAAGACCTTCCAGAGTTACCGCATCTGACAGAAGCTATACGAGATCAGCAAGGCTATACCCATCACAGATACAGCTATGCAGCCTGCGTACTGGGGAGAGAAGTCAGAAAAACAAGCCGTGATGACAGTGGAGAGGATCGGGACATGAGTCTGTCATCAGTGTTTATACCACTTTACAAGGAACCCTAGGGAGAAGTCAGGAGCTGTGATGAGGTTGAGAGGGGCCCTATGAACAAACAAAGACAGCCACTTTGTCAGACTCAGCTTTGCCATTTATCAATCATATGCTTTTGGGCCAGTAATCCCTCTGTGCTCTTAGTACACTTCCTCTTCGGGGAGTTAGGTTTGAGTTTCTTTACGTGCAAAGTGAAAAGGTGGATAGTTACTCCCAAAAAGAAGGCATTTGAAAAATGCTATACTCCTTGGGCCTCAGCAACAGGAACAAAATAGCAAAGAAGAGGGAATCCTGGGCCAGAAACTCTGGACATTTACGTCCAGAATCCTCAGCAAGCAGGAAGGTAGTTAGCCTAGAGATTGGTTCCCTCCAGGGAAAACTTGGAAATTTGCCTCATGGGGAGGTCGTGGGGAGCTAATCCTGGAGATTTCTAAAGAGTTCTGTGGCTGACTTGTCCAGTACTATCACATGATGAGGAATGGGGCCTGGGGTTATCCTAACATGTTGGCTTAGCATGTGCAAGAGCCTGGGTTTGATTCCCAGCACTGCAGAAGCAAACGAACAATGAGGTGTCTTCACACTGCCAGTATCTGCTACAGATGCTGCATCACCAGACTGCCAGAAATTCACCAGCTAGCCCAGGGCCCAAGGTTTTGAGAAAGAGTGGAAAGGAAACCAAGTTTTGTCTTTCCCTGCAGATGATATCTTCCGTCAGACATTGCTAAATCAGTCCTGAAGACTAAATAACCAAGATCCTTAATGCAACAATTTATACAATCTTTCTTCCTTTAGTATTCTTACTTTTTTTCTAACAGTTATAGGGATTAGATTAGTCATATTTTCACACTTTCTGACAGTTACTGAAAATGCCATTTGTGTGCTCAATAATACTTAGTGAGCTTTTATTAGGTATCAGCTATTTTACTAAGCATCACCTCAGTCCTCAATTAGAAACCAAGGCTGAATGAAGCTGAAGCACCTCCTCTAGGACACCCAGCCTGGTGGAGGCAGGATTGGAGGTCAAGTCTACCAATACCTGGTCCATAACCACTATGTGAACATTGGCCCTTTTCATACTGTCAACATATACATTTTCCTACAACTTTTCTTTTCTACCAAAAAGAATGAATATATTAAAAATCTAATTCAGAACTGGGCAACTTTACTATTGGCTATGGTAAGTGATGAAATAAGTAAGAAAATGAATAAATAAAAATAAGAATCAATAAAAATAATTATGATAGATCTTTTTCCTACCATATGTGGTGCATCTATTTTCTGTTCCGCAAAATTATAAATATCAGGAGCCAAGAGTAAGCTAAAAGCTCCTCTAATTCCAGACCATGTGATAACAACTCCCCATCGCCAATCATACTCATAACTTGAATGCATCAAAATGGGGCTCACTATAATAATAGTAAGCAACCTGTAGACAGGAAAATATCAAAAATAAATTAAAAGTACTTTATGTAGTAATGTTCCTGAAATTGTTCTTGAGGCTCAATAAGTCTCTTATAGAAAGTCTTTGCATGCTTTGAGGACCCATACAAGGATGATTCTCCCCAGAAAAGCCTTTCCTCTAGTGATGGGAATTATTAGTTCAGCAAGGTCTCTAGGCCATTGCCATCTTATTTGGCCTTACAGAATATATCCAGCTTTTCCTGGGTAACGTCTTCATTTATTTAATGGAGATGATAGTTCTTTTTTTATATTTTATTTTATGCATATGAGTGTATTGCCCGCATGTACGTAAGTGCACCCATGTGGTGCAATGCCCACAGAGGTCAGAAGAGTGTATCAAATTCCCCTGGAACTGGAGTTACAGACAGTTGTTAGCCATCATGTACTGGCACTTAGAATTAAACCCAGATCCTTTGCAAAAGCAGTGCTCTTAACCACTGAGCCATCTCTCCAGTCCTGAGATAATAGATGTTTTTTTGTAGTATTCTTTTAGCAATAATGAATGTACAACTGAGTCAAATACTGTGCAAAAGCCATGGGTCTTTCCTGATAGTCCATGACCAATCTCTGTTTGCACATGAGCACTGATGAAAGAAGCAAATGTAAACTTTCAATAACACGGACTCTTCTCAGAACCACCTGAATCTCATCTCTAGTTATTCAATTCAGTAGACTCACAGGCTCATGAATTTGCATTTATATCATACTCAGGAGTGACAAGAGTCTAATCTTTCATTTTATAGAAGAAACCTGAAAACCATTCTCCCCAGGTTGCACAGCGGGCCATTATCAAGGCCTACACAGCCATGCAGGTTTCCTGACCCCACATGACTTTTTTTTTCTCTACTCCATTGTTCCCAATTCTAACTCTGGTCTTAAGAATCTAAGCTAATGAGATAAAGGGATGGCTCAGTTGATAAAGAGCTTGCCACACAGGAATGAGGACCTCAGTTTAATCCCCAGCACCAACATTAAAGGCAGCAGAGGGGCCTATGTCTGTAACCCCAGTACTGGGGAGGCAGGGACAAGAGGATCTCCAGGGCTTGCTGACATGCCAGTCTAACGGAATCAGTGAACTCCAGGTTCAGGAAGAGACCTAGTCTCAAAAAATAAGGTAGAGGGGCCAAACATGATGACCTGAGTTCGATCCCCAGGATCCACAGAACGGAAGAAAAAAAACAGCTCCCAACTCCCACAGGTTATTTCTCCAAATAAATAAATAAATAAATAAATAAATGTAATTAAAAAAATTTTTAAATGATAGTGAGAGATATAGAGGAAGATAACACATCAACTTCATACATGAGAGGGGGAGACAGAGAGAGAGAGATAGAGAGAGGAGAGAGAGAGAGAGAAGACAAGGAGAGGAGGGGAAAGGAGGAGAGGGGAGGAAGAGAACTTTAAAATGTAATTATTACCTTACAAAATTCACTGTTACAAATAAGATGACAGTGAAAACTAGGGTGTGAAATCTAAAATACTTGATTTCACCACATCCAATCACAATGCCAAAGAAGGCATATATTAAATATTCAAATACACGTGAATATATTATTAAGAACCTAGGATGAAGACAGAAATGACATTTTAAGCAATGCATTCAAAAATACATTTTTTCACATAAAAGCATCTGTGTTACACCTATCATTATCTCAGTGGACGCCCTGTCTGGTCTCCATCATAGTTGCAGTCAACATGAGAAAGGGTTTTGTTCACCTAAAAACATTCAGTCCATTACCCTCATCACACCAAAACTCATGGGCTGCCTCTCACAACAAAATAGTAAGTGGTAGGCAGAAAAATGACCTCCCCAAGTTGGTGATTTGTCAATTTCTCTGGGATTAGCTGGCAGTTTATCAAGTACTGGAGCTGCCACCACTAAGCCCAGAGGAGGTGCAGCTTTGAGGAGGCACCTGGGTAATTTCATGTAACAGCTGAAAGGGTCATGTAATACATCTTCAAAACTTCTGCTGTGACATTGCATGTGCTCCTTCCCTTACTTAGAAAGTCTCCTCTGTCTGCTTTTCAAACTACTGAATTCCTAAAAGTCTTGGAAACCTACCTCTAGGCCCATGTTCTCCATCCAAAGCACTCTGGTCAGAATTGACCCTCTTCTGGGTCCCTGAAGGGCTGAATGTCTGCACCACCACAAGTAGGCAAAGGAGGGTAATGGGATCTCCCAGATTTCTTCCTGAGTATCTATACATGTAGCCATGCCTGGCATACAATGGCTGAGGCTGGGGTCTCAGAGGGATACTGTTCTGTGATGCCCTGTACACTACCATGCATGAGTCAGGGCCACACCTGACTTCTACAGGGTGATCTCAAGTTGTTCCTCCTCTTGATTCCCTGTCTTGGGACTTTCCCTTTCAGCTGGTCTGCCTCAGAAGCCAGCTTCCTTACAAGTGGGTCTCAAGATCTATACACAAAAAGAAGCACCCAGAAGCCTTGTTTAAGCTACAGATGGACCATGCTCTCTGATCCTACTAAGCTCAGGGTATGATTCTCCAGGTGATTCTTATCTCAAATCCATCCATTCAAGACTCCTATGGGGGTAGAACATGGAAGACTTCAAACCTCAATGCTTAGTTCTCTGATGTCATAGAATAACTGATGAGTTAAATACTTTTATTTATTTATTTATTTATTTATTTATTTTTATTTATTTTTGTCTTTTTGAGACAGGGTCTCCCTTTAGCCCCAGCTGGCCTGGAACTCACTATGTAGATCAGGCTGGCCTCAAACTAACAAAGATCTGCCTGCCTCTGCTGGGACTAACCACCACACCTGTCAGGGGTTAAATACTTTTAAAGTCTCTCAAAAGGACCTATCAATGTCTTGCATATAGTAGGATCCAAGAAATACACAATTTTAAAGTATTTATCATTAGTTTATGTATATAAACATGCATGCCATTTAGCAACATGCTTTAGAAAAGTCTTATTTCCATAGCCTCAAACTTAAATTCAATAGTCAGGCCACAGCAGTGGCTTAAGTAAAACAATAATTTAGCAACTAGAATAAGAAATTTATAATAAATTTGATGGAAAGTATCACTAATCTCAAGGACATATTCAAGTTCAGTTGCAACATCAAGCAGGTGCCTTGAAAGAACATTTTAAATACTAAAAAAAGTAGAAAGAACATTATTTCAGAACAGTGAATAATCTTTTACATTACACAAAATTTCAAGATTTTCCTCATTTCCAAATTTGCTTTTATTTGATGTGAGAATTTCTTCAGTAGACTGTGATTTGGGGTCTGGATTCTGAACCAAGTCTATGATTTAGTATGGTTTTTAGAGAAGGCCTAATCTATTTGTCTCAGAAGACAGGCAACAATTTCCCTTGTTCACATGACATTTTTGCAATTCCAGATAGAAAGAGTAGGGCGGAGTTTGGCTGGTGTTGCATCTTTCTGTGGCTTCTTCCAACTCTTGTCACGTTAGGTTACTGCCGTTTTGGTGTGTTGTGTGAAGGAAATAAATCCAGAGTTCAAAGTAAAGTTCTATCAGAAAATTATGTAGAAAAAGCACCATGGTCTCATGGTTTGTTACTCAGAATAGGAATATCAATTAATGCTGATAAATGTTACCAACTTCAGTCCCTTGAAAATATAACTGATAGCAAAATGAAAACTTTAAAGATAGAGAAAATGTATATAAAGGGAGTTTTATTAGTTTCTATAAAGACAAGATTGCTGAACCACCAAAATTCTATGGAATCCATAGCAAAGACACAGTAGGAAACTTACTTAGTAATTATGAACTCCATCCCCGGTTTAAAGCTTAAAGAATCTAAATTCAGGCCTACCACAACCAAAGCAACAATGCCTGACATTCCAAAAAATTCCACTGGGGAGAGAAAATAGCAAATTAAAATTAAATGCACTTAAATCTACACCGCGTCATACTTTAAGTAAAGGATTAGTGAGAAACTTGAAAGTAGTGTTTCTTATTTTTGCTTCAAAGGATTGGTCTAATGTTATAATTGGAGGTAGCAAGTTTTTTGTCTGTGATGGGCTATATAATAAATACTAGATTTTGTGGGCCATATGACACTTGTCACAACTACCCTGCTCAGTTATTATTTGGTGAAAGTAGCCAGAGACAACATGCAAACAAAGGGCTATAAAACACTGAAATTTGAATTTCACATAATTGCCATGTGCCACAAGATATTTTTCTTTTTAAAAGTTATTTTTAGGTAAAAGTATGACTAAAAATATGCTTCTTTGACCCAGTTTGTCAACACCACATCATCCTTGAGGCCGGGACTAGTGGAAAAATAAATTACATAATCCTTGCTCTACACCACAAAGACACTGTGCTGCATATGTCAAGTGTTGTTGGCTAAACTCACTGCTTCCTAAGCCGCCTTTGCCTCCCTGACTAAAGTGGTCATTCGTTGAGCTCCAAATGTTGAAATGTAGCCTGGGAAGAGTGTTTGAACACAGTAAATAGCAGCAGTCCTGGGATGCAGGGTCTCCAAATAGCCTGTTGTAACAGCACACATAAAAGAAGAGAAAAAAGCAAGCAAGTGAGGGAGAGCTTTAGAATAATGTAGAGCAAGTTGCACTTGGAATGTGCCCCCTCCTTCTCCATTAGTGCCTCTGCGTCTAATGAAATAGGTGCAAAGTAGTAATACTTCAAATAACGCTGTGAAAATTAAATTATGTGAAAACTGCTTGGTACACTTCTGTAGCAATGAATGATCATTATTGTTACTATGATATTAATGTTTTTCATCAATTGCTTTACTGCGTAGCAATACGTGTTAATACTTAGTAAAGAGGATTTTACTATTCATTTCAGTTACTCACTGCACATTAGATTTCTTTTTACTTTTAACTTAAATAACCAAGTTCAGTAAAGTTTGTAGTTCTATATACTGGGATAATAGCGGAACTGTCAAAATCTTATCTCCAACTTTTTATAATGAGTACACACTGGTCTTATTGCCTTACTTAGTTTTCTTTCTTTGATGCTGGACTTTAAATACATTTTTGCCAAATGCTTGATTTTAATTGATTTGGGCTGAACTGATTATACATTTCAGTTACGATTGAGAACAAAGAATCCATACTGTACAATTCTGTGATAACCCCCTCCCAACTGGAAAAGCTCTCTGTCAGGACTGGGAGTCTCCTAATGTGGAAATAATGCTGGCAGGCTCTGTGGAACCCTGCCTTACTGCATTACTCTCAATTCACACTCATCTGTTTGGGAGGAGACCAAGCACTGACTAGAAATGCCCTCATTTCTGAGAGCAAAGAGGAAGGGAACCAGCACTTATGAACTACCCTACCATGAGCCCAGCAGTGAGCTGACAAAAGCTCAAAAACAAATCTCTGGGGGGAGAAAGCCTTGATTTGCAATGTCTTCCATTATCCATGCTACAAAGACTCTCCCCATGGTGCTGGGTTTTAAATACTTTTAAATGCCCCATGGCATTGCACACTCCCATCGTGCAGTCACTGGGACAGAGGTAGGTGAAGATGTGCATAATAAGCCCTAGCCCGGTGTGGTGTCGCAGGCCTTTAATCCCAGCACAGTTGGGGCTACAGAGAGACCCTATCTCAAAAGACCAAAAAAAAAAAAACCCTT